CAGGGGCGTTAACCGTAACCGTAACCGGTCTGCCTTTTCCCCAGAAGTCAAAAGACCAGACTGGACCGCAAAAAGACCGCAGACTGCGGTTTTTTGCGGTCTATAGACTGGTTTCGGTCTGCATCAGTTTTAACCGGTTTATGACCGGTCTTTAGGCCAATATTTTAAAATTATGAATCGGTAAATTTATTAACATCTTTAATAGCTTCAAAACGAGCCCAAGAACGTTAAATTCCGTTAGGAATTGGTGCTTCTATAAAATAAGTCTGGTACATCTATTATTCCCAAAAGTAATTTACATTTTAATTCATATCTCTCTCGTTTTTTTACCAAATCGTACGTTCTTGGTTGCGTTTTAAAGGGTATTTAAGGGGCTATAAAAGACTGGTCCAAACCGGTCAAGACCGGTTCACGTTAACCGGTTTTTTTGCGGTCTTTACATTTCAAAAATAAAAGACCGTAACCGCAGGTCCGGTCTTTTGCAGTCTTGGTCCGGTCTGGTTACGGTCTTTTTCCAGTCACGAGACCGGACTTCCAAACACTAGTAGAAGCAGTTGACAACTGGCTCAAGTTGTCAAACTCCCAGCAATGGGCTCGCCTAAACTCTTTCGTTTCGATTCTACAGAAAACATAAGAAAATCGGAGGAGGAAGGGCAAACAGGTTCATGATGTACGGTTGGCAACTTGGCAATAAAACCCAGAAGATACCGCTGCCTAAACGCTTGACACCAGAAATAGAAGTTAAAACTGGCAGGTGGGAGTGTTTCGAATGCTCAGAATTCAAAGAATCATAGTTGATTCCACCACGGCTACCATATGTGATCTTTGTTACTCGAGTCTTGACGTGGTGGTCGATGTAAGTAGTAGGAGAGCGCACTGTCAGCTACGGCTTTGTTACTAAATCTCCTTCAGCTGTGATAAAATGCCTCTTAATGAAAATGACATACACATGGTTATTGGGCCGAATAATGGTGAAGCCATCAGGCTTCAACCATTCCGAAACTTTGGTATACAGCCAGTCACTTGCGGCAAAGCCTCCGACCAAAATTACGTTTATAATTGACAGTAATATCAGACAAAAATTCCTAAGGAAGGTGCAATTCGCTCACTCCTGCGCTGCTCATGTACAGACTCGACGATACATTTGGTAGAAGGTTCGAAAAATTCTGGTTGTCTTGTTGGAACAGCGAACATGTGGTCCAATTGTGGTCAAGATCGTCCAAAAAGGTCGATTCGGCAAGGAGCTCTAAGGTAACAAGTAAATTATCATATGCTGACGACATACAACACATTCTAAAGAGGGGCGGGCATGGCGAGTCAATTCAAGATTTGGTCAAGATACAAGAAGTGAGGCCTAGTGAGGGGTTGTTTGGTCGCGATTTTGTGAGTCACGTTACTCGCAAGAAAGGCGATCATTTCTAGGAACATTGTTTCAATATCCAAGGGCGCTCCGGCATTGAAAAAAAAAAAAAGACCAGGTCGATATTTTTTCCCTTCAACTTTGGGTGGACTAACTGCATTTGAGATTGCACTCCAAATTGGCTGATTCGGCTCACGTCTTATGTCTGGGGTCCTTCTCAGTCGATATTTTTTCCCTTCAACTTTGGGTGGACTAACTGCATTTGAGATTGCACTCCAAATCGGCTGATTCAGCTCACGTCTTATGTCTGGAGGTCCTTCTCAAAAAACATTGATATCAAAGTCGAAACATTTCCACATCAAATACTCGGTTTCAGAAACATTCTCAGGTAACTAGACTGTGTAAAACAGCAACCTCCATCTGAACTTCTCAAGTAAAATCGACAGCGCACGAATCCCGTTTCAATTTTTCGGAGCCTTCACTGTCCCTGGACCCGATAACGGCGCTGAACAATGGGCACCAAGATAGTGCCGTAAACTGGTTCCGCAGCGGGCTTCACTTGCACAGACTTGCGTCCCGGACCCTCAAACGGCGTCTTCTGCAGGATGGTAGAGAGATTGATGTTCTCTGAGGCAATGAAGAATACTAAATACCCCACGTCAATGTTGGTGCCTTCCTCTAGGCAATAGGTGAATGGGTTAACCCCGCCAGAGTCGTAGCCGAGGGTGAGAGAGCTGCCACCTTGGGTGAGGGTGGGGTAGGTTTCGAATTTACCACTTGTTGGTGATTGGTAGTATGTTTCTGCAAAAGGGGGTGGGTTAACGATGTCCAGTGGTAGTAAAAATTATAAATTACGAATGCTAAAGTCAGTGTTGTCGAAGTAAAAGGCGTTGATGTAGAGATCGCGATCGCTGTTGTTAGTAATTTTATATCTGTACATCGTCTCCTCTGACACAATGATGTCAATGACACCGTCGAGCTGTAAGAGGTTGTCCCCAGTCAGCTTCAAAATTGCCTTTCCCGAAATTGAGTAATCACTTGTGCGTTTGAGGGTATTGCATTCAATGACAATGGAGGTGTCGACGAGAGCATTTTTGACCTCGCGGTTAAGATGCCAATAGAAATGAGCAGCGCCATGAAGGATCGGAATAATTTCCTGTGGGTCATTTGCTACGGTATGAGGCATACGCGTCAAGCCGTACTCTGCGAGACGTGAGTCCAGGATGTCGAACACTATTCTGTTGTCCACAATCGAAAGGCCGAGTCTTGCCTTTTCCTTCTCTAGGACAGGCCGGATTTACCTCTTTCCAGGATGGAACTCTTCCATCATTCTCGCCAGAGTCTCATACAATCTGGTAAGTCTTTCATCGAGTGAAGCAAACACTAGAAGATCCTCCAGTTTCCCGGCTTTCGTTTGCAAAATGCAAGAAGTTGCGGAAAGAGGGGTGATGGCAGCGCTGGATGTATGTTTCGTCAGCGTCGTGGTGAATGGGCCAATGTGAGCCACAGAAGCAACAACGAAGACACAGAGGGGGGGTGAGTCATCAATGTTGAGACTGTCGTTGTATAGACTGAATTCAGAACCCTCTGTGACACCATGTGCAGATCCGGCTTGCATCTCATATGCTGAGCCCTTCATCTTGATAGGGAAACATACACGTCCTGTTGTAGGTGCTTTGGAGTTGAAAATGATGCAATTT